GTTACTTATGGCCTGGTATCAGCTGCCATTGTAGGTAAATAACTCCTCTGTTTCTATTCTCCACTCTCCATAGACTATCTCACCTGACTTTTCTTTTTCAGAGTCACCCATTTGTCTATTTATCTGTTTGCTTGCTTATTTATTATTTAAGTGTATAATTTCTGCCTCTGTTCACTGGGGTTTTGGACCATGAAAATTGATCTACTCCTAGTGTTTGGACTATAGAAGGTATTCAATAAGTATCTATTGACTATAAACTCAACATATAATTTTGATGTGCAGACAGCTTTGAGAATTACTATTTTAAACTACCTCATTTTAAATAGGAATTACTGATTAGCAAAAATGCTTATGCTTAGCACTTTAATTGTCATACTTTCATGGAAAGGTAAAACTGAGTAGAAAAAGCTGTTATATACTTTAACAGATTTAATTGCCATATTTTTCTGCACAAAGTAAATCTTTTACATAAGAAGCCAAGTTCCTCTGACCTTGAGGCTATAGCTAAGGCATCAGCATTTACCTGGAGGCTCAGAACTCCCAGGTTGTCTCAGGCCTGCTCTCCCTCTGGCTAGAGTCTGGGAATCAGTGATGCTATGGGAGTTGAGAGTGAGAAAAGGGCATGTCCAGCCCTTTTCTAGTCAGGTGTGCAGCTGGTCAATGAGTGACGAGAAAGGGCAAGTGGGAATGTGGGGAGAGGGGCCTGAGGGAAGCAAATCATGTATTTCAAGGAACATGCCCATAAGCAAATCCATAAGCAATCCTGAGGCCAAAACCCAGGGAAGACACAAGATCAAGTCAATGGATTGTGGAGGTGAAGTCTGGGAAAATCCCTTGAATCAGTGGTCAGGGATAGGGTTGGAGAGAGGGGTGGTCCTTTCACAGATGTGGCCTGTGACAGGGAAGTGCTACTGAAATGATGAGCTTGATCCTAAGTTGAGTAAGCAGTCTCTTAAACACAAGTCTTGGAAATGAAACATTTTTAGAAAACACTACAACTGGCACTATAAAGTTACAGAAAATGTGCAAGTGGCATCTGAATGACCCATGTGGTCCTTATGACACAGATATAAAATACACCAAATGGCTCCTCCACCAGATATCAGGACCCTAAACAAATATTACAATCTAGGGAGGGGAAAGTAGTTGCTGGGTGGTGAGGGTAATAGTCTACCCTTCTTCATGAACACTTGAAAATTACTGAAACCAAGATACTGAGCAGAGAGAAAACAATTGATAAGGGGAGGGGGAGGAGGGGATATTAATCATTATTTTGATTTCTGGCCCTGGAGCTGTTTTTGGAAGGTAAATATCTTATTTAGCAAAATACCTTGATGAATTCTGGGAATGGGACTGAATGAGACCAGAACTGGAGTACAAGGACAGAGTATAGAGCTCTGCATAATTAGTGATGGGGGCCTTGGCCATGGGAGAAGGAGCAGGTGGGAAAGACCTGGCCACCTCCTGTGCCAGGAGACTAAGAAAGGGGCAAGGGAGAAATGCCCTGTAGCTGGAGGACTTGGAGGAAACAGCTAACTAAAGACCAAGTTCAAAGCCCTTAGCTTTGAAATATTCTGCCATGGAGTACCCTTTAGTGAATATGTGTCTCCATATGCTTTGTGGGGTTGGGTTTTGGAAAAATTAAGTAACAGGATTCTGTTTCACATGAGGTTGATTCTGAAAGGAAAAGAAAGAGGGACTGAAGCTGAATCATGTAGGAACTAAGCCCCAGAAAGGACCACAACAGGGAACAATCCTGGGGTGGGGCTGGGAACACTTGACTCTCCTCAGGTCAGGGAATAATGTGCTGGGATAATATGAACTCAATTCTCAAATTCAGGGGCTCCTCAGATATTTTTTAGGTAGCTTTTGAATATTATTGTAATATTAATCATGAACATAATATTGGAATTTAAGTCTATGAATCTTCTTTTGCACACTTTCCTGGGAACTGTGTGGGGAGTAGGAATTAAGAAAGGCTGATTTCCATCAGCCTATGGAACATCCCTCTCTACTTCCTCTAACACCAGGAGCCAAGAGATTAGGGTACACAAAGGTGAGTGTTTCAAAAATACACTGATGGAAAATATTTTTTGTTTTCCTAAAATCTTGTTATATAACATCAAATTTTGCCAAAGTAAGTTTGAAGCATTATGGTTAATTCCCCTGCCATCTTCCAGAGGAACATTTTGTTAAAGTGTATACATCTGGGTGGGGGGACTATGCCCAGCTCTGAGTGCATTCAATTTTCCTACAATAACTGCTAACTTAAGCAAAAGATCCTATACAGAAAGCACATGTAATAGATGTTTAAACATTAAATTAAGTAAAATATTAAATTCATATGTAAACTGTATGACACATATATATGGTTTGTATGTGTATTTTATATGCACACACATATATATTAATTAAAAATATAAATATATATAATGAATATCTATTTTTATTTTCCATTCAAATAGATGGTGGTGAGCATTGTGGGCAAGGATAGAGTTCAGTTAATATTGAGCAAAAAATTTTAGGAAACGAGCAGTGACATTGTGACCAGAAGAAACTAATTTAGAAAATAAAATGTTTTTGTGGATTAAAATTGTGCGGATTAATCACACTTACAGATATCATCAATTGCATCCAACTAATGGACGCAAGACTTGTTGCCTGAAGTATAAAGATCTCCGTGAAAGAAAAAAAAATACTGTTTCTCTCTTACTCAGCAAGGGTTTAAGAAACATTTGCTGCCAAAGATATTTTTAAAATACCTCTTAGCTTGATTAAATAAAATGTCCTTCACAAAGTTGTCTCAGTGACAATTAGATGAACTAAGAGCAACTGTCACTATAGTTAGGAATAAAACTAACAATTTAAGCACATGGTTCTGGGGAAATAAGAAACTGTAGTATCAACTCATTTCTACTATTACATCCAGGTAATTCAAACTCTAAACAAAGCTATGATTTTCTCAAAAGTCTCAGAGAGCAACCTCAGTCTCCCTTGAGAAGGTTTTCCCACCTTCCTCAGTGACTGTCTGAGAAATGACACAAGTATGAGAAGCTTTGGGAAAATAAGGTTGATTCCTGGCTGTTTGCCCCAGGGGAGCTGCCAGAAGCTCCCTAAACTGACTTCTCTTCTGCCCCATGTTTGGTATCAATTGCTTAACTTGTCAATCCTTAGTCACTCATTTGTGGAGTAGCTCAATTTTTTCATTCATAGTTCTTGTGTTAATCATTATAACCAGGTAAATAAGGACAAAAGTGATTTAGCAGAAGTCAGGAGCCTTGCAGTAGGTGGATGGAGGAGACCATGTGCCAGGCACCTCTGTGCAGACATTAACTCTGCATCAATGCCCTATAAGGTAGGTTACTGTTATGATTCCCATCTTTGCAGTTGAGTAAACAGAGGCACAGAGAGCCTAGTGAACTTACCAAAGATTTCAAAACTAGAAAGTAGTAGAGTTGGGATTCAAAAACAAAAAACAAAACAAAACAAAAAACCACATGAGAATCTGGCTCCAAAGTCCATAATCTTAACTCTTTTGCTTTACCTTTGCTGAGGAAATTAGTGTGGAAAGGGCATGCTCACTATAGACAACATGGTAGATTGGAGGCAGAATTGCAGTAACCAAGCATAGGAAATAAGACCTCTCTGGGGTCTTGTTTCTTCACATTAATTTTCAGGCTTCTGCAGACCCTACTGTTGAACTATATTTTGTAGATGTTAGCTGAAGGATCCTTGCACCTAGTTAAGATGAGATGCGCTCACCATAGGCTGGTTTAAAAGTAATTCTGTTCCTATTCTATGCTAAATCAACTCATAGAAAAAGGCATGTTCACTGAGTCTTTCAGCATGTGAGATATCAATCAAGAATAACTGGAATGCAGGGGCACCTGGGTGGCACAGTCGGTTAAGCATCCGACTTCAGCCAGGTCACGATCTCGCGGTCCGTGAGTTCGAGCCCCGCGTCAGGCTCTGGGCTGATGGCTCAGAGCCTGGAGCCTGTTTCCGATTCTGTGTCTCCCTCTCTCTCTGCCCCTCCCCCGTTCATGCTCTGTCTCTCTCTGTTCCAAAAATAAATAAACGTTGAAAAAAAAATTAAAAAAAAAAAAAAAAAGAATAACTGGAATGTGGGGTCCCTGAGTGGCTCAGTTAGTTAAACATTCAAGTTTGTCTCAGGTCATGGTCTCATGGTTCATGGGTTCAAGACCTGTGTTGGGCTCTGTGCTGACAGCTCAGAGCCTGGAACCTGTTTCAGATTCTGTGTCTCCCTCTCTCTCTGCTCCTTTCCCATTCATGCTCTGTCTCTGTCTCTCAAAAATGAATAAACGTTAAAAAAAATAAAAAAAGAATAACTGGAATGTTCTTTGAAGACTTCTATAAATGTTCAGGATTTAGCACTTGCAGGGATGTCAAAGGCCACTAAATAAAAGACCAGTGGTTCCAAAGCGGTCTGGAGGCTCCAAATCCTCCTTAAAGTACCCTTAGCTCAGCCTCACCTCTACATGTATCTGTTTTCTATGCTAAATTTCCACATAGGTTGTTATTGTTTTTGTTTAAGACATGCTTCAACTACTTAAAATTTTTTTTCTTGCAATCATCTTTATATAGTAATGGATATTTTATTTATTCACTCACTCAAGTATTCATTATATTAGGCATTGGGAAAACAAAGTGAAATACCACACAGCACCTTCCCTTGAGTGCATGCCATTTTAGGAGTACTGATCCAGTTTGAGGGCTGAACTGAATTTGAAATGAATTATTGTCCTATGTACACTTTTTAAGGCATTCCAATCAGAGTCACTAGGGCAAGACTCTCAGTGCTACAAATTTTAACCGCTTACTCATCAATTGCAAATGATTCACAATGGGAGATCTTAGGATCCTATTTGTCTAGGAGAACCGAGAAAGGAAGACTTATTCTCACTCAAAACCAATGTTAATAAAAGAAGCAGAGCACTGTCATTTTTCCTCAAACATGAAAAAATTGTTTCATTTCTTACCTCTAGAGCTTTCAATCTTTCCAACAGCAGTTTGGTGTTTTCTTTCCCATCGTCGACACTGCTGCTTTCACTCCTCGAATCCTCATCCACCACCATGTGAAGACCTTCCAAAGCTTCCTTGTGTTTTCTCTCTTCCTCTGACAGTTTTTCCTGAAGTGAGAAAGAATTATTGCTTACGGTAATCTTCCCTGAAAAATAAACAAGAGTCTAAGGCATAAAAGTTTGGAACCTCTCTATTGCTTTTGCATTCTTTTGGGGCTGAGGTAGAGAAGATTTTGTTAAACAAATTCTCAATGGTGCTTATATTAGTAAAACACAACAGAGAAATTAATGAATCCTGGCAGGATAAAGCCATTGGGTCAATACCTCTGAATGCACAAGTCCTCTACCCTGTTGGAGTTGACCCAGCCAACAAAAACCTTAGGATGGGATCATGCGGTTAATCCGTTTTTAGCTGCACCATGGAATTCACCTGTACTCTAAACTGGGAAAAAAGAATAAATCAACCCTTATACCTTGATTTGTGAAGAGCTTAGCTCCAAAACATAAGATCGTTAAAGTCACTGGACATGCAACTATTTAATTATTCTAAGGGAAAATAAAATATTATGAAATATTGAAATGATAGTGATTTCAGATTTCTAAGCTGAAACCAATTAGTTCCTTTGGCTTGATGACACAGCTCTTAAGGACCCTTTAGTTCCTTTTCTAACACTTCAGGATTTGTCGTATAGCCTTGAGGCAGACATAAAATGTTGTTATCTTGTCTTTCCTCCCTGTTGGAAGCTCCTCACTCAACCTTATCGCTGGCAGCTTTGGGAAGTTGAGAAGTGTTAATTTGAGCCTTATGATTGCCTCTTGTTTTCAAGGGAAAAAGAAATGTCAAGAGAATATCATATGAAAAGAAAAATCTCATCCGTTCTATACATATATTAATACCCATGTGCTCCGGAACCAGGTGACATCATTCCATCACACTATTTAATTCTAACAGCACACTGCAGAAGTTCTTGTCTTAATGCAACTGGTTGTCAACCATGTGAGCTAAATTGCAACATCAGAGGTGAGAGACTTCTTTACATTTAGCACTAAATAAAATCATTTACAAATAAGAAGCACAAAAGCTAGAATTCTTAACCTCTAGGTCCCTGTACAATCTACTTACAGGGGGAAAATTCAGGTTTTCAAACTGTTCCCAAACTGTTCACAAAAGTGCTTTGGAGGCTCCAAAAATGTTTGATTTAACTTATTTTTGAAAATAAATTATAAAGTATGTAAAATATGTCTTAATGTATAAGTACATATATATAGATATACATGTATTTGTATATAGGTATATACATATACCTGGAGACCACATGGTAACTTGACTCATGCTACTCTTTTATACAGATTTCAAGATATAATTTCTTCTGTCATCTCTCTGTAGAAATGCACAATTGGTTAGGAAGGTGAGAACTCTTTATGAAATCAGGCCTCGGCATGTTTAACCACATACAACAGGCAGACATGTTCACTTCTATAGCACATATATTTCAGCCCAGATAAATGTCAGGCAAGTTTAAGGTGGACATCCTCAGGGCAGGGCAAAAATCCAGGTTATGACAGCATTTTTATAGCTTTGATTCTTTAAGGTCTGGTCACTTGTCACACTTTCATTTCCATGATAAGGAACATAAAGTATATACAGTTACCAATTGAAATGAAGAGGTCCTTTTATTTCTCTTTTAAGATTTGAGACTGTAATTACAGTCTCAACACTAAACTGGGGTTGTAAAGCAAGCCATGTTTTAAAAAATGCCATCTACATCTATTTCTCTGTGTGAATCATGGTTTGCTCCTTCCTCCAATTCCACATGTTTTTTCTCCCCCTTCCTCCCTTTATGTCTTATAATAATTAGGATTCTACGCCTAATTAAAACAAACAAGAGCTACTGGTGTGGAGAATGAGAAACCAAAAGACTTGGTTATATGACAACCGGATTCCAGATCTACCATTTACCTGCTTGGCAAATAATCTTGGGCAAACTCCTTAAATTTCAATAGCTCTTGGTTTCTATGTCTTCTAAATATCTAAATGAGGTTAATGCCAAAAAATAGAGCATACACACATATTTAGTCAATTCTCATTATTCCTGATAATTCTGTTCCATAAAGTTGCCATGAACTTATTAAAATTCTGTTCCATAAAGTTGCCATGAACACTGAATTAGCAAATACTGCTTCTAGGGAAAATACAGGGTATTTTCCTACAGGGTAGGCAACGTTGTCAGCACTAATCAATACATAGTCTTTTTTTTTTTATTTTTTTTTTAACGTTTATTTATTTTTGAGACAGAGAGAGACAGAACATGAACGGGGGAGGGACAGAGAGAGAAGGAGACACAGAATCGGAAGCAGGCTCCAGGCTCCGAGCCATCAGCCCAGAGCCCGACGCAGGGCTGGAACTCACGGACTGCGAGATCGTGACCTGAGCTGAAGTCGGACGCTTAACCGACTGAGCCACTTGATTTATGAGTGTTTCTATTTAAAGACACCTTATTTAATATGTATTGTTAATTCATTTACATTGAACTAGCAGCCTACAGTTCTACAATGCATACCTGAACAAAGTTATCTAACACCTGTTTTCTCCATAAGGCACATCACAGCCTTCTTACACTTAGGAACACGAAGTAGCATTTCAGTCCTATGTTTGGAGGCCATTTTGAACAGCAAAATCACTAATAAAAAGCATAAAATATGAAAAGTGTGGTACTAAATAGAACACCAAAGGACATTTATTTACAGTAGGAGATCAAAAACAAGCAGGCAGAGTGGTGCCTTGTTTGACCTCAGCCGGGAATGTGTGTGTTAGGTGACTCAGAGTTTTCACTGTTCTGTGAAATTTACCATCAAAGCACTGCACATATTGACTGCAACCAAATTTTAGGGAGTAGGTGAATTCAGAAATACAAAATCCAGACATAATGAGGATTGACTGTAGACACACACACACACACACACACACACACACACAAACACACACACACACACACACAAAGTGTCTAGGCACAGTGCCTAAATATTATTATATGAAACAACTGGAAACGATTCAAGATGATATAGATTATATGTGAGTGCTTAGATTACATAAAATGCACGAGTGATTTTACACAGTTTGAAGAAAGGGCGATCAATGAGGACTGTGGGATGTAATTTCATGGTAATGTAACATGACTTATGCTTTGATACAGTGATACAACTTGAATAGTTAAAGAGACAAACAGTGGGATTTTTTGGTTGAAGAGAAAACTGAAACAAAGGCCCCCAGGAAGGAATTAAGTTTTGTCCCTACTGGTTTATGAGAAAACCAGTTAGATTATATTAACACACAAAAATATATACAGAGTAGGTGAGTACAGGATTGTAGAGTAAAAAGAAAGGATTCTGGGAAATGAGTAATAAAAATTCAGACACCATTCATTAATTTGTTCATCCTATAAATGTTTATTGAATGTGAACTATTGGCCATTTGCTGTTCTAGGTGCTGGACATATGGCAGACATGACAAAGTTCCTACATTCCATGAATTTATATTCTAATGATGGGAAACATTCCTAACGCCAAATCAAATCAAGAAGTTATATAATTGTAGCTAGTGGTAAATGCTATGAAGAAAATAAAACAGTATGATGTATGGTCAGCGGTGTGTCTAAAGAAAATTTTTAGATATGGTGATATCAATGTAAGGTGTACCAGCATAAGAGGAGGTGGCCATGTGAGCTGAGACCAAATGATGAGGAGGAAGCAGTCAAGCAACGGTCTGGGATAAAAGCATTCCAAACAAGTTAGAGCAAGGCCAGTGTCCAGAAGCAAGGCTAAGCTTTCCTTGCTGACCAGCTAGGAAGGAGTCCATGACTGTAAGAGCATAGTGACTGTAAGAGCAAGAATAGTAGGAAATGTCATCAGAGAAAGAGTTAGAACATGGGAGGTCTTGCAGAGCATGAAAGGAGTTTGGATTTTATTCCAACTGCAATAGAGAACTGGAGGCTAATCAGGGAAGTGAAAGATTCTGGTTTACATTTTAGAAACCTCATCCTGACTGCCACAATGGGCTAGGAAAGGAAGGAGCTAGGAGACTGGCAGGGACACCTTTATATACTTTATATAGGAAGAAATAAAAACTAGGAACACTGTGAACTTTTTAAACAAAAAAATTCCCAAAAACAGTTCTCATACTAGATGGAAGGTCAGAAGCCCTGGATTCAAAGCCCAGCTTTTACATGTTTGCACCTTAATGGGAAAATCATCCAACTTTGTTAGTTCTGTTTTCACCCAGATGTGAAATGAAGTGGTTGGACTAACTGCTCCTTCCATGGCTAAAGCTCTAGCAATTCAATTGCACAACACAATTTTCAGGAAGGAAATGTCAATATGCTCAATGGGGGCAGAGATGACAGGAGAACAGAAAAAGAGCCTCTACATTTTGTAATAAGAAGGTTATTAGTGGGGACCTGAGAGCTAAAGTGTGATGATGGTACCCACATTGCCAGTGGTTAAGCAAAAAGTGAAAAAAAGTGATAATAGAGGCAATTTTCGTAGATGCTTATCTGAAAGTCTGGCAGGGATGGGAAGGAAATACAAAAAACTGTAGCCAAAGGGCATCACAGAGATAAGAGGAAGGCTTTCTCAAGATACAGAAAACTGAGCTGTTTGAGGAAATAAAGAGAAGAGGGACAGCATAGGTGGGAATGGTGAAGAGGAGACCTCCTAAGCAGAGGGGGCAGAGGATGAAGGACACTGATGGAAAAGTCAAGGGTTTTCAAATGTGGCCCCCTGAAAAATATCACTTTGCAGCTTAATTCCTGAGTTAGTGTTTCTATATCACTGGTTAATGTCTAGCTTAAGTTCTTAAAGAATGAAGATCTCAGAAACCAGGCAACACAAGGATGAGAGTGACCAGGGAAGAGATGGGAGCCATTAAAGGGCATAACACAAAGCAACTACAGCTGAAACCACAGAACACTGAGAAAAATGGGGCCAAACACAGGCTCAGAATCATTCCACCCCAGAGGTGAGGGAGTTGGAGTTTTTAGGCACCAACCACATAAGAATCAATGGTTGTGGCTACCTACTGGGATGTCAGTTTCCTGGTATTTCCAGCCTGC